GGTTTGGTTGGTTGTTTTTTTAATAGAAAAAAAAAAAAAGCTACAGACTGGTTATTTTAGAACAAGCTCAGAGTTTAACAAATAAATTGCATTGCCTTTGTTGAGTTTTATTGTATGTCATGCCTAAGACCTTGTTAGAGCATCAGGCTTTTGGAAAGTGAATATTTATGGTTACTTACTGTATTTTTTCAAGACTTGGAGAGATAGAAACACCTTAGTTTAATACAAATATACATAAAAGAAACTTTTCTTCATCAGGAAATATCCCACATTTATTGGGCTACTTAGTAAGTCACTCTTATTGATGGCTTTTTGGTGTTTTTCTTGAGAAATGTATCTTTCAATGTATACTATTTTACATATAAGAAATAAAATGTATTACTGTCTTATTAAAGCAAAATATATTTTTCATATTGTGTGAGCTTTCAACTTTGGAAAAATACATGATACAAACATATAGTGTATAACTTGCTGTTAAGACTGATCAAAAGGACAATGAATCACTGACTAATAACAGATTTACTACCTTAACAGAAAATATTTAAACATCTCATGTTGTTTTGAACAGGATTAGATGACATTATAAAAGATTTTCATTCTGATTAGATTACAACTCTAAATTCAATAACTTCTGGTAACTATAATAATGAGATTAATCTGTTTTGTATACAACTTGGATGATGTACTCTGTTTCTGCTTGTCATTGTTCTTTACCTCTAAGACAGGAATAATATTTTTCTCTGGTTTTATAAATACTTAAATAAGAAAAGGAGGACTAAGGAGAATCTCCATCCTTTTTTGGATGTTGAGGGAAACAAAGCGACAAGAGATGAGGAAAAGGCTGAAGTACTTAATGACTTCTTTGCCTAATTCTTTAGCAGCAAGACCAGTTCTCTGGGTACTAAGTCCCCTGAGATGATAGATAGGGACAGGGAGCAGAATGAAGCCCTCATAATCAAGAGGAAATGATTAGCGACCTGCTAAACCACTTAGAACCATGCAAGTCTTTGGGGACAGATAGGATCCACCTGAGGGTACTGGAGGAGCTGGCAGAATTGCTTGGCAAGATGTTTTCCATCATTTACCAGCAGCCCTGGCTATCAGGAGAGGTCCCAGTAGACTGGTGGCTAGCAAATGTGACGCCCATCTATAAGAAGAGCTGGAAGAGGCCTGTCAGTCTGACCTCAGTGCCAGGGAAGCTCACGGAGCAGATTGTCTTGAGTGACATCACAAAGCAGTTACAGGACAACCAAGTGATCAGGCCCGGTCAGCATGGGTTTGTGAATGCCATGCCAGGTCCTGCTTGACTAACCTGATCTTCTACAGCAAGGTGACACACTCAGTAGATAAGGGAAAGGCTGTGGACGTGGTCTACCCAGACTTCAGTAAGGCTTTTGACACTGTTTTCCACAACATTCTCCTGGAAAAGCTGCCTGCTCAAGCCCTGGATGGGTGTGCACTTTGCTGGGTTAAAAATTGAGTGGTGGGGCCAAAAGAGTTGTGGTGAATGGAATTAAATCTAATTGGTGGTCAGTCACAAGTTGTGTCCCCCAAGGCTCAGTACTGGGGACAGTTCTCTTTAACAACTTAATCAGTGATCAGGATGAGGAGATCGAGTGCACCCTCAGTAAGTTTGCAGACAATGCTAACTTGTGTGGGAGTACAAATTTGCTCAAGGGCAGGAGGGCTCTGCAGAGGAATCTGGATAGGTTGGATTGATGGGCTGAAGCCAATCATATGAATCTTAACAAGGCTAAGTACTGGGTCCTGCACTTGGGGCACAATAGCCCCATGCAATGCTACAGGTTGCGGGAAGTGTGGGAGTTTTCTTCACAAGTGGGAACAGAGAGGCAGGTACTGAGCTCTTTTCTCTGGTGACCAGTGATAGGATCCAGGGGAATGGCTTGAAGATGCAACAGGGGAGGTTCAGAATGGTTATCAGGAAAAGGTTCTTCACTGAGAGGGTGGTTGAGCACTGGAACAGGATCCCCGGGCAACTGGTCACAGCACCAAGCCTGCCAGAATTAAAGAATTGTTCGAACAACGCTCTCAGATTTTGTGTGTGTGTGTGTTTTCTTTGTTACGTAGCTAATGCAGCACATTAGTTTGATGGCAGCAAACTAATGATAGAGTCGGCTATGACACTGAGACATGGGAGAGCTGGGTTCTCATCCTGGTCTAGCTTTCTGGGTGTTCTTTGGGAATCCATACTCCTCGTAAAGCTTCATTTTCAAAATCTACATTATATTGATAAACACTAAGCTAAGTAGCTGTACTGGGTCTGGCTGGGATGTTAACTTTCCCTGCAGCAGCCCATACAGTGCTGTGCTCTGCACTTGTTTCTGGAACAGCAGTGTTATCACACCAGTGTTGTCTACTTCTGAGCAGTGCTGGTACAGCATCAGGCCTCTCTCTAACCCTCCTAGGGGGTGGGCAAAAAGTGAGAAGAGAAACATCACCAGGGCAGCTGACTAAACCAACCAAAGGGATATTCCATACCATGTGATGTCACACTCAGCAATAAAAGGTGGAAACAGGAGGAAGAGGGCAGGGGTGGGCTCTTCTTGTGAAAATGTCAGTCCTCCTCCCGAACACTGGCTACGTGCATTGAGGCCCTGCTTCAAGGACGTGGTCAATCATCGCTCATTTGTGGGAAGTAGAGAGTAATTTCTTTCCTCTGCACTTCCACATAGCCTTCATTTGTTTTATTTCTTTGTTTTCCTCCTTTTTTTTTTAATTTTCCCTTTCCCCCTCCCCTTTCTATTTCCCTTTAGTTAAATTGTTTAGTTCATAATAATCTTTCTTTAATTATTATAATTATTTCCCTTTAATTAAATTATCCTTATCTCAACCCAGGAGTTGTCCTTTGCTTTACTTCTCCCCCTCCTCATCTAAGGAGGAGGAGTGAGAGAGCGGTTGTGGTGTTTAGCTGCCCAGCACAGGCACAGTAAAACCACCACAGTAGCCTTTCAGATAAAGCAATTGAATTAAAGAATAAAATATATTAAGTGATTTATAAATTTTTTCTTTAGGTTGTCAGAAGAATGGGAAACAACCTCTACTTTCTCATTAGTCTCATCCTGGAATAACATATTCATTATTTACAGTGTTATCATTTGAATACATTAATTCTTGAGATAAGGAGAGGAGAGATACTGCTGGATTTTCTAACTACAGCTTTGCTACAGAGCATACCTCATTTATACGGTGGATATGTTTTATTGATTAAAATATGTTTAAAAATACATTACATTGGGTTTATATAGTGAGAAAATTAAGCATGTCTTTTTAGTAGATTTACTCCTGTTTCTGAATGATAGGGATGACTACAAAGCTGTAATATAAACTGCTCTGCAAGGTTTTAGGGAAAGGTTAAGTACACATTGGCAATTTGGTATTACGGCAGTGTGCTGGAAAAATTTGGCTATATTTCAGTACATAGACTTAAAGCAGCAGTGGAAGCCTCAGCCACTAGGGACTGGGCTCTCTGGAGGCATTGTTCCTCCATCTTAAGAGCCCACAAGTGTGGACAGCTGTACAAAATTGTTTTCTCAGTCTGTCCTATCCTGCATAGCACCGTGTTTATAACCATTGGGAAGCATAGCTTTGCATGCAGTTTGCAATGAGTTTACATGGCTTTAGAAAGCAATCCTCCTCCAGCCTGGGAGGATATTGCCCTAGTTCTTTGGCATCATTGATTGGTCAGTTGATACAGTCATAAGAAGGTAGACATTGTCCCAGTGTTTATATTAAACTTCTAGGATATACTGTGTATGTTTTTCTTTATCAAATGATAAACTACGCATATTTTACTTCTTTAAGAACTTATTTCAGTCCTCAGTTTTTGTAGATATCTTTGTGCTCTAGTTAAAATAATAGAAAATAATAGATAAATGTTTTTTAAAAAACTTATTTCAAAATTGGTGAGCATCATAAATATATTATGCTTTTTATGATGGATGTATTTTATGATGTGATAGGCAGTGCTTTAAAATCTGTGGAAAAATGTTCTTTAAAATATAAATTTATAACTGAAATGCTGACCCTGTTTCTTTTGGACAATTGTGCCTAAGAATATATGTTAGCAATTGAATGCTCTAGATTGTTTGCATAAGTTTTGTCATAGTCTGGATATTTTAATTCAAAGTTCTTCTGATCAGGCCATCTTACCTGCTTGCAATTGCTCAAATTGTAAATGGGCAAGAAAGCAATCAGATATTATCCTTGAAAGAAATGCAGCTGTTGCTTAAATAGAAACTGAAGTTAGGAAAAAGTTACATGCATTATTAGCTGCCTTTTAATGCTGTTATCTGAAGGGAAATAAAGTATAACATTCTTATGTCAGCTGCTCAGCTTTTTGTAGACATCCACTTGTGGCTGTTGTAGAATCCACAACAGAAATCCAATTTTTGTACTATTTTTCTTGATTATGAGTTATACACACAGCAGATTGTTAGGTCAGTTTTGACCTCGATACTATGAATATACCAGGTATCCCTATGGTGGCTCTGACTAGATCAAGTAAAGCAAATTAAACTCAGACCTGGCAGGGAAGAAAGCCAAGGACTGTGGGAATGTGCAAGACATATTTAGGGGTAAACACCAAATGTAGTAAGAGGTGAAATCAGGGTGAATTAGGAACAAATGTTGGAAAATGGAGAATCTGGTAAAAGAGACTAGGTGGTGTGTAAACAGAGCACTTGTCAATATGCTTGTGTGTGGGTGAGACTTATACTTGACCGCTGCTATCTATCCTACACTGCAATCCTTTATGTAAGTGTCTCCTTTGTGGGTGCACTTTCTATTCTGAGTTTGGGTGTAAGCACAGGCAAAAGTGAAGCAAGAATAACAAGAGAGTATGGTAAGAGGTTTTGAGTGCCAGCAACCAGAGTGAGAAACCATGAGACCAAGGGGCTTGGAGGTCTGGGAAATTGGGATAGATAAGTGTCTGAAACCTGTTACAAAGCATCCCTTAGTATGTATCTGTTTTTTAACTGTAGTGAAGTCAGTCCTCATCAGCCACAAGGGAAGAAGAGGATCAGGACATCTCTGATGTTCAATATTTATGTGAGTAATTTGTATTCTGTGTGTGTCAGTGAAGGCACCGCTTCATTCTGTCCATCTTGAACTGCATGGTTGGCTGCGTTAGTACTGTGTTGGCATGTGTGTGTATAAGTGCGTGTGTGTGTCTGTATGCCTGGCTTCTGGGCACACTGGGGGCATAGCACTAGGGCAGCCTCACCTCTACGGGGCTGGGACTGGAGAATTTCCCTAGGTCCTGAAGCCCGCTACTTTCATAAGGTCTTATATGGTTCAGCTGGCCCTTAGGAGCTTACAGACACTCAGCTAACCAAAAAGGGTAGATAATATTAGTTGGTCAGATAATCCTCTATCACCAGCTTTATAGAGAGAGATCCTAATATCATTAAGTCATATAATTACTAATTTACAGGCAGTATATGCAACCATTTCTGCTCTGGTATCCTTGGCAGCTCTTTCCAACTTCTGTGTATCCTGGCATGTCAGTACAGGGCCTTCTGTACGAGAGTCACTATCAGCATGTTTCGACTGTGCTGCTATTAGTGTCTGCATGTGTTAGTTTTAAGAAGGTCTTCTTCCCTAAACAGTCTCATGCATAATTGTCGGGTAGAGTGATGTCTAATACGAGCTTTATTAACTGAAGTCTTCTCTCTAATGGATTTAACTGATTGTTGTTTTTTTTTTTTTCACTGAAATATTTATTTATATGTATAATAGATATTAAATATGTAATTTAATTTGAAATTAGTAGAAGAATCCACTTTTTTTAGTAACTGTCTCTGCCTTGTGTAAAAAGGTGTGATTTTGGTTTTAAATTATTCCAGTGAGAGGATACTTATACTCTACCTTACATGAGGCATAGTTTACCTAAATGGAAATAGTGATATGGTCACTGTCCTTTGTTAGGCTACATATTGTCATGAATCTTAGGAACACAATAATTTACCATTAAATATGCAATTGAACTTGGTTAATGATTTGAAATTTGTTTGAATATGCAGAAATACACAGAGATAATATGTTCACATAATTTCTTGAGGAAAGCAGGATAAAATGGATTCATGAGACATTCTCATTTCTATGTCATCCCATTTATTCACTTCTTGCCAAAAGAATCAACTGTTAGGCATATGGCTGAAACAGCTCTTGCAGAATAGCTTCAAGTTATTTTGTCTTTCATGTTCCCCCCATAAGAGGCATGTGCCAATCCCTTGTCTGCTACTTCACATTTCCACAAGGAAGACATTTCACACCACGCTGGGAAAGCTTTCAAGATTTACTTTTTTTTATTTATTTATTTATCCATGATTTTTTTCCCTGAATTCATAGGTTGACTTTAAACATTTCAATCAAACTCTTTAGCTGTTAATACTAAAATTCCACTACTGTGATAAAAGTAATCTTACTTCCTGAAATCATGAGTTGCCACTGAAGTCAGTGGAAACTCTTGTTGCCTACTGCTTCTAAAAAAACCTACCACTTTAATACAAGTGTTTGAATTAGGATCATACAATGTTGAGGAAACTTACAAATTATTAGACAGAAAACTATTAGAAAAATTACTTATTTTGTAGGTCTCAACAAAAATAAAAAAAAAAAAAAAAAAAAAAAAGGACTCTATTTAAATAAATTCCATATGGAATTTTACTATCCGAAATAGATTTTAAATCTTCCAAATTTTGTCCTCATCTACACATTTCTGAGAGGATTCTGTAACTTCTCAGCTGCTGTATTTGGGATTAGTGGTGTAACCACTAATTATAACCACGTAACTACAAATGACCACTAACCACTAAAAATTTAATTTATTTTATTTTATTAAAATTAATAAAGAAATTTTAAAATATGGTGAAAGCTTTATTATAGAAGATACCTTGATCCTATTGAAGTAAATCAGAGCCAATCTGGGAATGCTTTCTGAAGGGTCCCAGAGTTTGTAGAGGTTATTGTTCCTACTTCCTGTGCCTTGTTTAGGCAGCACTGTTTAAATACAACGGTTCTGGGCTTGTGCAGAAAAGTTAGATAATATATTAGAGAGTTTTTACAAGGTTCATTAGCAGTAGGACTCAAGTTTGAAACAGGTGAATAGTAGAAATGCAGATAAAACTAGATGCAGATGTAAAAAGAAAGGACGGAATTTTAAGCATGTTATTGGGCACGCTGGTTGTGCTCAAATCCTTTTTTCTTCTTTATATGTTTACAACTTATACCACTTCCAGTCGTTTCTTTAAGGATGGATTTGGTGGTCTTTATCACAGAGAACAAATTATTCAAAAGTATGTTAATTTTTAAAGGATGTTTTGTCTCAGCAGTAGCATTGCAGTTTGGCCCACCAACAGCAGTTAAAAACCCACTCCTTAGATTTGCAAAATTGTCTTTCAGTACTAATGTACTTTCCATCCAGATTTACCACAGTTCACAAATTGTTAACTTCATTAACAAAACAGCCAAGAAGTGAACATGGACAGAATTTAAACAACCCTTATCCTTCCTTGAACTGTTTAGGCATGAAGTTTTAGTGACATGGGGTGTTCGTATTACTAACAGATAGTCTGTGGCAGAAACTTCATTTTCAAAGGTTGTTAGAAGGAGAATTTCCACATACAGACAATTTATATAATTTATTATTATTATTATTATTATTATTATTATTATTATTATTGTGAAAAATAAAAAATATACTAAAAAAACTCTCTGGCAAATGGATTTGTTAAAGTAATTTACTATTCTATGATGTTCAACAGCTGTCTCACATAAAACATTCTTCATCCTAGTTGCAGAAGAATAACCGTGGGATGTTGTTCAATCAAGAAAGGTCATTCTCACCTTTCAGGAATTAGTTCTGTTAAATTGCTAGTGGTAGTAAGTGGCCCTAAATGAAACTTCTCTATCCACCTTAAGATATTTTTTAATCTGTTAAATATTATATTTTTCAAATGGTTGGATTTTAATTTTAATAAAATCTGAAATACTCTCAGTAACAGTGCAATGCTATTCTGAGGTGGGGAGGTGGGGGAGGGAGGGGAGAATGGAAGAGAGGGTGGGGAAGATGGGGAAGGAGGGGAGAGGAGAGAGAGAATTAAATTTGCTAGACAAAAAATTCATGCATAAAATTATTAAGAAAAAAAAAAAAAAAACACAACACTGTTCTACATGTATATGTACAAATGCTATATACAGATTATTCTGTATTCACAGAGTATTACCCATCCTTACCTGTCATGCTAATGTTAATGTGTTTATTCTCATTCTTAAGAGGTACTGTGTAAAATAAATTTTCATTTTGCCAGAAACAAATCACATTTTAGTAGTAGTATCTCTCAGAATGTTATGAGAGAAGCCATGCAAGTATGGCCTGATTGTTATGTTATATTTACTGTGGAATAGCTGAGAGAACAAACCATACCACTCAGTGACATAAAATCTAACATTTATGGGTATAGTGGGAAGATAGTGATTTCTAGTCGAAGATCTTCTAAAATACAAGTACATTTCTGAAAGCTGTTGGATGTTTGTGGATGTGTACCTACTGAGAATACTGTTTTATTGTTTTTAAACTTACATTGTCATTATAAAACTTAATTTGCCTTAATAATCCAAAGCAACCCTAGGCCAATCTCATTGACCTTTTCCATATTTAAAACCACTTAGCAGTTGTTACCTAGGTTTCTCTGCCCTTGTTGCCTCCTGTTCCAAACATGTTACAAAGAAGTAAAATTTTTAAGAGTTCTTCTGGGCTTCACAGTTTCCTTCCTGAGTGCAAATAATAATTGTGGAGCAGAGGTAGTCCAGATCTTTTGGACATATCTGCACAATAACAATTACTTGTGCTGCTTTGTTCTTCCAGGATTGAGTACGGCTGGACAGACTGGATCCAGGTCTCATTTATTCTGAATGGTGCTTTTGGGTAGGCTTTGCTCTGTATATTAGAAGTTCCCATGTTGGCTACTCATGGCAGCTCCACTCTAATTCCTGGGTGAGAGAGAAGACCTTAGTCTTTACACATGAGGTGTTGCAAAATAATGTGTGCTTGTGATTGCAAATGAAATTATAATTTCCTGTATTTTTTACTCTGTGTATCAGTAGCTGTATAAGCATGATCATGACTCAGAGAGAAATTCAGAGAGAAATTAACATTTTTATAAGTCCTTGAAGAGGCCTAGTTGATTTAGGCTCTGAGCATTTTAAAAACAGATTATCACCGATTTATTCTGTTTAGCTCAAAACATAAATAGATAAATTGAGGTGCCAGTACCCATCTGTTGCTTAAGAGCCTCTTGGCTCAAATATAATTTGAGTTTATTTCCCTCTTATAGTTCCCTCCTTAGATCAAGGTGCTTCATTTCTAATACAGTGTTTGTGTGGAACTCTGTATGCCCTTCCCAGAGTTTAGTTCTCTAATGGCTTAACTAAAATCAGACTCATTCTATTTGTTTTATTTGGATCAGTAAGAATCATGTTCTTTAACGGAACTTTATGTTCTCCAAACAATTTGCAGTCAAATGAGTAGAGCACTCATCTCAGAAGCAAGGAATGTGTCCTTAAGCATGTTAAGGCTAAAGCTGGAGTTCAGTGTTGAACTTCCTAGTTAAGTATTCGGGATAATTGCGAAATGTTGTTTCAGCAGCTCCTCCTACAGCTATTGTGGCTTGGAAGCATTGAAACCTTCTGAAGATAGATTACTTTAGATGTGTGCTCAGTATGTAATATTTTTGAGTCACTCTTCATAGTCGTTAATCACTCTTCATCAGTTATCCTTTCCATATGTCATATAAGAAGTGTTAGGTATCTAAACTGTATGTTCTGAACCACAGTCCTGGGGCTAGGTATTTATATTTTAAAACACTGCCTTGTCTTCATTGGTAATGTCTAAGTGGAGTTTCTGTATCTCATGTGTATACTTATGTCAAACATTTAGTCACCAATTAAAGCTGTAAAAATCCAACTCCGTCTCTGCTGAAATCCAAAAGGTCCTATGAACTACGATGTTTAGCAGTGATCGGATTATGCAAGTTCAGAAATCTCTTGTTAGATCTTTTGGGGATCTGTATACTGGAAACAAAATCAATTGGAAATGTTGTTGCTTAATATTTCAAAAGTGGTTTCTAAAACCTACTTCAAAAGCTTAATCCCTAAATGATTGCAACAAAAATCACATCTAAGTGTGAATTTAGTTCATTTCATGAATTACTAATAGACATCCATCTGAAGCACTGGGCACCTTTACAACAAATTACAAATTGTATTACCAGTCTAACAAACAGAGGCAATAAATATATTCCAAGAGTTTCCTGAAGAAGTAATCATATACATTGCCCACCATTGCAAGCTTTTTCTAAAAGACAAAAATGTCATACATTGCAGAATGTATTAGTAATATTTAATTTCTGTAAGACACACTACAAAAGCTTACTACTCTTTACTTGTGTACATGGAGCTTTGATTTTCATGGAATCTTTTGAGCATGTAATTGGTAGAGTTCAGTGATTCACAGCTTTCTAATTCAGCTGATATTTTGGCTAGTTATTAGCCAGCTGCTCTTTATTGAAGCAGATGTTATGAACCATGCATAAAATTGTCAAGGTTGCAGTCAGTACAACTAAAGCTCTATCGTTCTCTTGTCAGGCTTTGTAATAAAACATCTAATGACGTCATTTGGAAAATCAGCTTCAGAAACTTGGTATTGCTCAAGTTCACCCCCCATTATTTTGTGCTCTTCTTGAATCTTTTCTTTCACCTTCTGTTTATGGCCAACTTTCTTCAATCCTTAATTTCATTTTAGTAAAGCTTGTATTTTGTTGTCACATCCTCAGCTTCTAGCCTTCTTTCATGCTGATTTCTGCACTTGAAAACGTCCTTCAGTTAGTATTTTTCAGCTCTTCACTTGTGCTTCTTTTAATTCCTCTGACATAAAACTGAATAATCTGTAGGGGCTACCTTTTCTTCTTTCTACAATGATTGTTCTGCATATCTCAAAAGCAATAATAGGACAGCCACAGAATACTAGTTCAGTATAATGGACCTACTCACAGCCAGATATTGCTGCCTCTTTGGGGCAAGAAATGGGTTTGTCTAGTATTTTTTCTTGTAAATCACAATGTGTGACTGTACATCTCCTGTACAGAACGTGACTGGGATGGAAAAAGTACAAAGTGTTATTTCACTAAAATCTGAGATTATCACTTCAATATTTGCATCATTACTTATATTTTCTAATACTTACTATAAAATATATTGTGAAGAATGACAATGCATGAGACAGGTAGCAAGAGTTGAGTTTAAGAATTGTAGCATTAAAAATTTAAGCCTGTATTATATTATACCTGTATTTTTTTCTTTAAACAGTTGTTATTCTTTCTAGATTTTTATAACTTGCCAGTAGAGTAGTACGGTATCTGTTTGAATAATTAAGTGGAAAAAAAAAAAGAAAAGTATTTATCTAGGGTTTGCCTAATCATAGCTCTATATGATCTACATCTACTAATATAGTTGTTGCCTAAAGACTGCAAATAGTCATTATATAACCACCCATTATAACCACCACATTAATTTCAGCTGAAATAACTAAGTTTTGAGTTTGACTCTGCAGTCTCTTTTTCATACAGAAAATATTTGAGAAATATATTACATACATTTGTCATTAGTCTATTACGTACCTTTACAGCACAGTAATTTATTGATATTCTTAGCAATTCTGGTTGTTGTTATTATAACTACTATTTTATTTATTTAATTAATTTTACCTCTAGGTAATTTGACAAAACCCAGATAGTCTCCTTGCATACAAAAACTTGCTTCTTTTTCCTTACTAATATTTTCAATAGGCAATTATCCACATATCTATCTCATCATTTATACATAACTAGGCATGATCAGGGCATACAGTAATTGCATTCAGGTGTGCTATTGTGATTACTCTTTTCCATATGTAATTTAGGAAGTCACAAAATGAATATATGCTACTTTTAATGACACTGCTAAGTATTCTTATACAGGCATAGTACAAAAATGACCTAGCTTCTGAAGTCACAGACAAATGAGACAGAATAAGCATGACCTCTTTGTAGCAGATCATTTTGATGTTTTGTATGCAAAAGGAAGTCAAAATATATTTTAAATTAAACCTTGATGAAATCACAAATTTATTCTCCAACATCTATATGATAATTTGGTATGAGACAATGTAAAGTCAGATACTGTTCTCAGCTGAAGTAAAGGTAAAAACTCAACAGTTAATGAATCTGATTTCAAGCATAGAAATCTACATGTAAAATGCTTGGTGGAAAAGAAAACAAATGTTTTGGTTTTTGGCTTTAAATCATGAGAAGGAGCAAGAGTACCTTTGTATATAGAGAGGCGAATGGAAGCTAAAATTTACAGAAATGATTTCAAATAAGAAAAATATTGAGATATTGCATCCTTTGGGACAGAAACATTAATGTGTCTCTGTAAAACTTCCTGAAGAAAACTGTAGTACAACTGTTGCTAGTGGTCATTAAAAATGACTTAACAGCAACAACTTCTGAAGCCAAATGCAGTGTTGCTCTTCCACAACCTGCAACAAGTATTGAAAGAAAATATATATTGTTATTTTTTACCTAAGTATTGATTATGCTTTCTATCCACTAGAGGTAATTATAAAAGTATAAATGATTTGAAATACACTGTTTATCTTGAAATCCTGTAGATAAATTTTTAAGTGGCAGTTAAAAAAAAAAAAACAAAACAGTTACACAATTTATTTTTGAAAGGTTCTGTTTGCCAAACAACTACTTTGGCAATTGTTATGAAATTTGGACCATGTGAAAAAGGAAACATAAAAAGGTTATTTAGGTAAGTTACAACTTGCTATTTGTCTTTTAGTACTCTAAACAAAAACATGCAAACAACATTTTCCTGTTGCTTAAAAGTAATGTGAAAGTATTAGTATGAAAATAACCACAAGCAAAGAATATAACTGTTTAAAATAATTAAACTGGAAATAAGTGTTATTTTCTAGCTTTTTAAGCTATAATAACAATTGTAGACCTCACTGACATCTGTGCACGTAGAGCCATTTTCATTGTTAACATCCCTATTCTGTTCTTCTATACTGAAAGCAATTATGCATGTTATACCCTCAAAAGTACATTAGTGCTTCCTACTTTTTTGAAGTACAGTGCAGTAAATCACTATATCCTTAATTTCTCTTTATTGCAGAATGTTAAACAGTTCTATATACATTTTCCCTACACACTGATCAAAAATGAACTTCACAGAACATTTATTCTGTTTACCAGATGGCCAGTTGCATCCATCTATGAAAGACATGGACTCCTTTATCTGGAAAAGTTTTCCTGAGTAGTTTTAAACTCTAATAGCTGCATCTGTGTTGTTGTTGTTGTTATGGTTTAGTTTGGTTTTCCATCTTGAACAATAGAGGAAAGATGCACATTTATGTTGAATTTGTAAAACTTGAATATGTATTGAAATCTACAGGTTTGAACAGACCCCAGTACAGCTTACAGTTATTTTGATTATTATGAATAAAAGATATGTATGAAATAATTATGATTAATTTGATTTATTTACTTTACAAGTTCAACGTAGCATTTTACTGTATATCAACATACTGCTATCAAGCAGCAGAAGGTGTGGTTTAAGCCCAGCAGGCAGCCAAGTACCACACAGCTGCTCACTGGCTCTCCCCAGATGGGATGGGGGAGAGAATCAGAAAGATAACAGTACATCAAATCATTCACTGAGAAAAAGATAGTTTACTAGGTAAAGCAAAAGCTGCACATGTGCAAGCAAAGCAAAACAAGGATTTCATTCACTACTTCCCATTGGCAGACAGGTGTTCAGCCACTTCCAGGAAAGCAGGGCTCAATATGTGTAATGCTTTCTAGGGAAGACAAATGCTGTCACAAATGTCCCTTCCTTCCTCCTTCTGTACCCCAGCTTTTATTTTTCAGCATGATGTCACAGGGTATGGAACACCCCTTCGGCCAGCCTAGGCCAGCTGTCCTGGCTGTGCCCCCTCCCATCTCCTGGTGCACCCCCAGCCTCCTTGCAGGCAGAGCAGCATGAGGAGCAGAACAGTCCTTGGCTCCGTGTGAGCACTTCTCTGCAACAACTAAAACATCAGTATCTTATCAACACCATTTTCATCAAAAAATCCAAAATGTGGAATCATATGAACCTCTACAATTAACTCTACCCCAGCCAAAACCATGGTAAGCTGTTCCAGACTAAGACCCAGAACAATGCAAACTCCAGAAGGAGAATCAGTGGTGATATAAACTGTCTGAGAGACACCTGGGAAGATTTTCTGATTAAGATTCATTCAGCCTGACTGAAAATACATAACAGAAGAATAGTATTTTCTGGTTAAGATAAAGGGACTTCTATAAACAAAGCCCCTAATGCTCCAAAATTTGTTCCTGCAGTCTCTCTAGAGAGTCTCTCTCTTGAAGGCACTCCTCTCCTCAGTTCCCAGTCTGAGACATTGTGGAAACTATCCTCACTGGAATCCCACTAAATTGTTATTGCATGTTGCGGTGAAAGGCAAGAAGGACATTGTGTGTCAAGGTCTGCTTGTGAGATAAGTGTCTTTTCTAGATTTTTGTAAGAAACGTAACTTTGAGAGCTTTGTTTAACAAATGCAAGACACATATATTATGCTTAAGGTGATATGCTCTTATTCTGTAGATTCCTGGAGCCGCTGGCATTTCTTTTCTGTAGGAGCTTATCCAGATCCAGGAAGGACAGTTTACAGATAATGTAGATAGGATCAAGAGAGAAGGAGTTGGATTTGATGATCCTTGTAGGTCCCTTCCAACTCAGAGTATTCTCTGATTCTATGACCTCATGAAATAAAAGGTCACGGGAGAGATCTGCAAATTAGAATTGTTTTCTTGAAAGGGTAGGT